AGGGGTGGGAAGGACTAGCACACAAAAGGAATGGAATGGAGGCATGCAAGGCTGGAACAAAGCATTGGAAGGAGAGGATGGTATGAAATGAAGGTGGAAAATGATCATGTGGGGACTTTAGAGGTAGGTAAAGAGTGTGCGGTTGTTTTAGTTTTGTTTTAAATGTCTCTGACTGTTGTTTGGAGAAAAGATTACTGCAGGTGGTAGGGAAAAAGTGAAGTGTATTATAATAGCCTAAGAAAAAGTCTGTTGTGGGCTTGAATACCATGCTGGTGAAAATGAAGAGTTAATGAATTCAAGATATATTTTGGAAGTAGAATTAACTGGACATGGTAATGGATTGGGAGTAAATTGGAGTAAGAGAAAACAAGATGTTGGCTAGGTTCTATCTTTCATATAATACTCATAATAGAACCATTTACTGAGGTAAGAAAAACCAGAGGAGGAATAGCTTTTGGAAGGAAACTGGGAGATATATTTTAAACATATACTATTTGAAATGTCTATTCAGCACCTAAGTGAAGTGCTAAGTGGGCAGTCACCTGTATACATYTGGTGCTTAGCAGAGAGCTCAAAGGTAAAAAGACACAAATTTAGGAGTTATTAACATATGGAGGATATTCTATGTCACAGAACTAGAGGCTGTCACCCAAGGTGAGAATTTTAGTGGAGAAACCTGAGACTGAATCTCAACATTCAGAGGTTGAGAATGGGTGGAGAATTCAGCAAAGATGGAAAGGAAGCAAGCCAAAGGAGTAGGAGAAAAAAAAAAAAAAAAGATTTTGATGACCTGGAAACAAACAGGGAAACATGAGTCATGAAAGAGAGAATCATCAGCTGAGACAAATCTGCTGAAATGTTAAGAAAACTGAGGATAAAGAAGTGTGTCCATTTGGTCTGACTTAATGTTCTTCTGGAAAGGCTGGATTAGTTGCTTCTCCTATTGTTCCATAATTCCATGTATGTGTTTTATGGTATATACCATACCATTTATCATACTTCATCATAACTGTTTTAACTACCTGTGGCACCCATTAGTGAAAGGTGAGTGACTTACCCGAGATGGAAATTCAACCAAGAGATTTTATTGGGGGGCTGCCCGAAGGGGAAGAAAAGGAGAGGAAAAGAGCAGCAGCCTGAGCCTACAAGCTTCAGCTTAGGAAGGGTTGCTTAGGCAACTTGGCGGGTGCTAATTGGCAGGGTGACTCAGGAATGGGTGCTGACTGGCAGGGTGACTCAGGAACCAGCGAATGGATACTGTGTCCCATGGGGGATTGGTTGAGAAAACTTTTGACTTTGGCGCCCTTCAGAGAGGAGGGGGAGGGGTAAGGGATGACATGTTGTTCTTCTAGAGAGATGGAAACTTAACTTCGGTGGGGAGAAACCTGATGGGGGAAATAAAACCAAAAGGCAAGGTGTCCCACACACCCAACAATTAGATTTTAAGTTCTATGAAAACAAGGACCATGTCTGATTGGGTCACAATAGCATAGTGACTGGCATGTAGTAAATCTGAATAAATAATTTTTCAGTGGTGAAGGAATAAATAATGAATGAACAAAAGATGTACAAAGGTCATTGACACTCATTCTCCTTCTCAAATGAAAAATAAGAATTATATCTGATTCCTCAATTCTAGGAATTTCATTAAAACTCAACAATTAAAGTCCCTGGACAGTGGCACTGGAGGCCATTGGTTGGTTGTGCTGGGGATTGAATCCAGGGCCTGAAGCATGCTAGGCAAGCACTATACCTCTATATCCTTGACTAAGGTTGGTCTTAATACACAGAAATAGTATAGGAACAGTAAGAGGAAGGAAAAGTCCATCAAAAGCAGGACTCAAATATATTAAAATGCTCCATAAACTCAACTTTATAACCACCAGTTCTTCCACTGTTGCAGAAACTATTAGAGCTGCACACTACCTTTCTATGGCATTTTGTTTTATCATTTGATGCTATGCAATATATTCATTGTTAACTCGATTTCACCCATAAACTTTATGGGATTGTTTGTGGGGAGAAGCTTATGTTGGTGCAAAATAGCTGCATGAATTTGCACCTTCTCATGGCTCAACTCTTTCCCGTCAGGAATCTATTTTGAGTTATCTACTCAGTGAGGAGTCCTCATATTTTTGCAGCTCTTTTTTATCTAAGGAGGAACTGGAGTTCTATTTGTGTGTGTGTGTGTGTGTGTGTGTGTGTGTGTGTGTGTGTGTGTGTTTCCCTATCATGTTTATGCAGACCAATCAAAGTCGACTCTAAGACTGATCTAAGTTCTAAAGAGCAGAGCATTCATCTTAGAATAGGCATATATTTCTTTTCATGCTTGGACTAATGTAGGCTATTTGTTTTCTGCCAATATGCTTATGTATTAGTTTCCTATGACTGCTGTAATAAATTATAATAAACTTGGTAGCTTAAAACAATGTATATTTTTTTCTCTTCCAGTTCTCAAGATCAGGAGTCCAAAATTAGTATGGACAGAGCTGTACTTCCTATAGAGGCTTTAGGAACTCCTTGTATTTTCCAGCTTCTGTGGTTGATAGCATTCCTTGGCTTGGGGCTACATCACTTGAATCAATGCCTCTGTGATCACACTGCCTTCTTTTCTGGTATGTAGGATCTCCTGCTTCTCTCATAAGAATTTCTGTGATTGTAGTTGGGCCCATTCTGATAATTCCAGATAATCTCCCCATCTCAAGATCATTAACTTAATCATACCTATAAAGATCTGATCTTATATATTTGGGGGCCATTATCAGCTTACCATAATTTACAGCTCAAAAGTATACCAACTACTTATTGAAACTCATGAAAAGCTTTTTTTGTTTTTGTTTTTGTTTTTTGCAGTTCTAGGGATTGAACCCACTGAGCTATATATCTCATGTCCCTCCTTTTAAATTCTGATACAGGGTCTCACTAAATTGTTCCGGCTGGCCTTGAACTTGTGATCCTTCTGCTTCAACTTCCCAGGTAACTGAGATTATAGTTGTGTACCAATGCTCCTTGCTCATGAAAAATTTTATACACTCCTCAAATCCCAATGTATACTAAGCTCAAACAATTATTTTGATTTTAAACATTTTATTTTACAATAAAATGTTAAAATTGTTTTGATTCAGTGATAAATGCAAAGTGCTACATATAGGTTCTAAAAATAACCACACTATTTAAAATTATCTTGGTTGCATATAATTTGAACTTAAAGAATTGGCTAAGTTGAAGAGAGAAGAGAAAGCTTAAATAATAATCATATAGCTTTCTGCATATGTATGAAGATGTTTGACAAAGAATAGGGATTAGATGCATGCTGTATAAATTGAATCAGGAATAATTAACTGCAGGCAGAATCAGATTTCAATCCATTACAAAGAATTCAGAAAGGTCAATGGAAGAGGCCTCCTCAAAATGAAATCACTTCCTAGTTCTGGAAGTGTTCATGAATGTGCAAAGGCCCTGAGGGAGGCATGCAGAGAAAAAAGGTAGAGAATACATCCACAGGTACAATCATGAGAAATTTAATAAAAACAAAATCTCTTTAATGATTGATTCTAGATAGCACAAGTAATATTACTCTTCTCCAAACTAATTTTCTAATTACAGCCAGCATGATCTTTTAAAAAGTCATATCTGATTATGTCAGCCCCTTAATAACATTCTGCACTAAAACCCTTCATTTGATTAAAGGCCCTTTCTATATTGACTAATGGCTTCCTTGCCAGTCTCATCTGGAGTTTTAACCTGCATTCTTGTCATGTTTTAGTTGCTCAACTTTAGAGAGTCCTTCCTACCTCCAGCTATTGAACAACTTCTTCCAAACCTCAATGCCTCTATCCTTTTTGCCTAGCATACTCAAAGATAGCTTTCTCCAGGAAGGCTTCTTTAACATGCCAAACTAATTGGTTTCCCATGCATACCTGCAAATTTCTCTGAACTGCTTCAAGATGAAGCATTCAGTGCATAGTTGATTGTCTTACTAAAAGGTAAGCTCTCTGAGGACAGAGACATTCAGCACAGGGCCTGGCATATAGTGGGCATATTCAAATATTTGTTGGATGAATAAATGGACTTTTAAAAAATTTGGCTGAAGTGCAAAAGAAGACTGATGGGGGAAAAATGTTTGCCTAATTGATAGCAGACCTCTAGTTGCAAAACTTCAGAAATACCCCTATGGTTTCTTAAAGGAATGTATTTCATAAAAGAAAATGGAGGTTAATGAGGAAAATTAAACAATCATCAAACAAACTGGGTCCATTAAACTGGAGTCAGCATGGAATACAGAAATCCTGGGAAGCAGAGCACAACAACTTAAGATATATCATGCATTCAGTCATTATTACCAAATATTTGTGGAGTGCTTATTATGTGCCTGGCATTTGGGGCAGGCTGGGCATACAAGGTAGGCAAGTATTACACAGTCTTTGTTCTTACAAAACATACAGCCCAATCGGGATGGACAAATACTTTGCAAAGTAATTTCATTTCAAAGGTAAGCCCTGATAAAGAAGGTATATCATTGTTATGAAATACCTAATTTAGTGGCAGGTAGGTAGGAAGGATAGAAGAATGTCGGGCATGGACTGGGTGGTCAGGAAGCCTTTCGGAGTTATGGAGGCCCTGATGGTCTGGGAAACTCATAATTTGGAGATTTCAAAGAGAGATTCAAGGGCACCTTGATAGATTTGACTCAGTGATCCCTGGTGTGAAAGGTCCTTTGCCTGGTCAGCAAGGCTTGTCCCTGGGCAAGAATAACAACATTCTGCACTTCATCCCACCAGAGCGGGACCTGTCACAAAATGCTGGTTGGTTCCTTGTTCCCGCAGGCTTCCACCAAGGGCAGGGCAGCCGCGGCCCGCAGACAGCCTGGCGGTGCCCTAGACGCCAGACTTACCCAACTCCACCCTGGGAAGAGGCGTGGAGACCCCGCCCACGCCCTGGCGAGCTCTGCCGGCGCGTCCGGGGGCCGCCCCCGGCCGCCGCGGCCACGTGACCCGAAGTGTGACGTAGGAGGAAGGAGACGCCATTAGAGGGAGGTGGAGAGGGAGCGCTCTTTGCCTTTCCTCCGGTGCCTGACGTGGTGGCTAAGGCCCTTCATTCTTGGACTTTCTCTCGGTCCTTCCAGGCCTCGCCCGAGGACAGAGAGGAGCCAGCGCCGGGTCGGCGGGCCGTTGGCAGGGCGCGGAGTCGGCCGCGGCCGTGAAGGCGCTGCCGCGGCTGTGGGGAGCTCGGCGCAGTTCTCGTGCTCGGGCTGCCGGGAAGCGGCGGGATGGCTGCGGCCGGCGGCGGAGCGGCGGCGGGCCGAGCTTACTCGTTCAAGGTGGTGCTGCTCGGGGAAGGCTGCGTGGGAAAGACGTCGCTGGTGCTGCGCTACTGCGAGAACAAGTTCAACGACAAGCACATCACCACTCTGCAGGTGCGGACCCCGGGCAGCGGGAGGTGGCGCCTCGGGGGCCCCCACCTACCTGGGGCTGTGAGGACTTTGCCGCCCGAGTCCGCGGGATCTGGGCTGGCAAACTTCAGGCCTGTCATCTYCACCTTCGGATTGCTTTTCCGAGTTGGCCTTGGTTTCAGGCTAGGTCGGGGCGCCGGTAGATGGTGAGGACAGGCTGTTGGACGGGAGGTGGAAGAACCCTGAAAAGTCCCAGTGTCCCCGGTGGTAGCTGCGCACTTCGGGGAGTCCCCTTCCGTGGACTAGTTTTTCCCCTTTGATGAGCTTCCGCTCGGGCCCTAGGTGTTTTCACCCTACAGTCTGTTTCTGTACTTCGGAAATAGGAACTTAGCTGCAGGTCTGATTTTTGCGAAAGGTGATTTGTAACTTAAGTATTTACTGATGACAAAGTGTTTATGCAAGTTCCATTTTGTCCTGTTAGCAGGAATGGCAAAACAGCCATCTCTGGAGGGTTTTTGAAATGACCGCTTGCTGGTGCAGGTTACGCAGTTTCATTGCAGCCTGCGTGGGTCTGACTTGTGGGTCACTCATTCTGTGGGTCACTCATTCAACGTGGGTCGGTCGACCCACGTTGACACGTCATGTGAATACTGGCCAGCAATTGGTCCCAAAACTAAAAGCTTAGACGCTGCTACTATTCATTTCCTTAACCTGTCATGAAAGGCTGACTTTCTTCTGCACTTATATGGGAAAACATTAAAATATAATCATTAAGAATGAAGCCAGGCCTTTGAGGAGTATTCTCTCCCCCACACTCCTGAAGAAATCGGTTTGCATTTGTTAGGAAAAGTTTATTCTACTAATCTGGCTTGGTAAATTTGGCCAGAGGCAGTCAAGTCTAGTGGACATTTGAGTTTGATTGCCTAGATTGTATTCTGTCTTAATCCATTTAATTAGCTGGTAATCTTGGGTAARTTTCTTAATCTGTCTGACCCTAAATTTCTTCTTCTGTTAAAATGGTCATAATAATAGTATCTAGCACATAGGGTTGTCAGGATAAGTATATGTAAAAGCACTAGGACTTGATGCAGTGTAAATATTATTAGGGCCCCAACTTGCACAGTAGAATTTAATTAGTAATTGTGAAGTGTACAAGAACATGGATGCTATTTAATGGAATGCATAATCTAACYATTGTGACATTTGATGTTTGATGCTATTATTAAACTGTTGGGTCTAGAATATAGGAAGATGCTGTGATTCTGATTCCATGTTCTATTTTTACCCTTCTGTTCTTAATCCTATGTGAAACATAATATCTGAATGTCACATTATAAATTGCCACAAGTTAATGCTGCAGTGGTGCCAAAGCTCAACTTTGAACCCTGGYCTGACTTAGGATTTTTGAATAGTTAACTTTGACTGCATCTGGATATTGATAAACAAACTATTTAGCAATTTCCTTTATGCTAAGGTCTAAAATGAAAAACTATTATAATTGAGATCTTAATGGTTTTTAAAAAGATAATTTAGTATTCTAACCTAAAAATTATATTTTTATTAGACATCTCAAAAACATGCTCAAAACTAAATACCTGAGAGAAGTCAGTGCAAACCACACAGGAAAGAATAAAGTTATAGTAGATCTTCAGTATCAAAAGCATAAAAGACCTGATTTTTATGTTTATATAACTTGTCACAGTATCTGGATTTTTATAGAATTGAGGACTTTGTTGTATACCAATTTATGGAAACAGTACTCTAATCTCTTTCTCTTAGATATCAGTTCACCTCATTTTTCTTTTTTTTCCTGAGAAGTGTGATTTGTGTGACCTAGGAGACACAATGTTATATGCCTTTAATTTCCAAAATGAGAGGATCATGCATCAGAAGATATGAGAAGAGTTCCCTTTTTTCTTGTCAAGAAACTTTTCTTTTTGGTTGTTGATGGACCTACTATTTATTTATTTATATGCAATACTGAGAATCGAACCCAGTGCCTCACACATGGGAGGCAAGCACTCTGCCACTGAGCCACAACCCCAGCCCCAAGAAACTATCTTTTTAAAGTACTTTTTGTTTTGCAAACTATGCTCTTATCCATTCATATTTTTTTAAAATTGTATGACTGATTAGAACTTCAGATAGTTCATGATTCACTGTTTCAGTTTTATTTTGAATTCTTCAGTCAGTTGATTGTCCACCTTTTTATTAACATCTTGAAGGTAAAATGAACTGATGTCAGAGAAAGTAGAAAACTGAGGTGGCCCATTTCCTTTTTAGACAGGTCTAATTTTCAGCAAGTTTTTCTTTGTATCAAGTCAAACTCTGTTTTTTTGTAGTTACCGCCCTAGTTCTGCCCTCTGAATCTTGGTCTCATATGACATCACTTCTGATAGTTGAAGATAATTTATTATATCCCCTTGAGTCTGGTCTTCTTTGGGTAACACAGCTCTAGTTCCTTTAACTGGATCTCCAGTGACATTATTTAAAATCCTTCCACAATTTTTTTTTTAAATTTTTACTTTTGTAGTTGTAAATGGACAGAATGGCTTTATATGTTTATTTGTTTTTTATTTTTTTTGTATATGAAAGCAGAATGCATTACAATTMATTTACACATAGAGTACAATATTTCATATCTCTGGTTGTATATAAAGTACATTCACGCCAATTTATGTCTTCATACATGTACTTTGGATAATGATGTTTATCACATTCCACCATCATTTCTAACCCCCTGCCCCCTCCCTTCCCCTCCCACCCCTCTGCCCTATCTAGAGTTTGTCTATTTCTCCCATATTCCCCCTCGCTACCCCGCAATGAATCAATCAGTCTCCTTATATCAGAGAAAACATTCAGCATTTGGTTTTTTGGGATTGGCTAACTTCACTTAGCATTATCTTCTCCAATTTACCTGCAAATGCCATGGTTTTATTCTCTTTTATTGCTGAGTAATATTCCATGTGTATATATACCACATTTTCTTTATCCATTCATCTGCTGAAGGGCATCTAAGTTGGTTCCACAGTTTAGCTATTGTGAATGTGCTTCTATAAATGTTAATGTGGTTGTGTCTTTGTAGTATGCTGTTTTTAAGTCCTTTGGGTATAGACTGAGCGGCGGATAGATAGCTGGGTCAAATGGTGGTTCCATTCCCAGTTTTCCAAGGAATCTCCATACTGCTTTCAATGTTGGCTGTACCAATTTGCAGTCCCACCAGCAGTGTATGAGTGTACCTTTTCCCCCACATCCTTGCCAACACTTATTGTTGTTTGTCTTCATAATAGCTGCCATTCTGACAAGAGATTTCTTAGAGTAGTTTTGATTTGTATTTCTCTAATTGCTAAAGATGATGAACATTTTTTCATGTATTTGTTGATTGATTGTATATCATCTTCTGAGAAGTGTCTATTCAGGTCCTTGGCCCATTTATTGATTGGGTTATTTGTTTTTTTGGTGTTTATCTTTTTGAGTTCTTTATATATCCTAGAGATTAGTGCTCTATCTGATGTGTGAGGGGTAAATATTTGCTCCAGAGATGTAGGCTCTCTATTTACCTCACAGATTGTTTCTTTCTTTTTTTTTTTTTTAATTTTTTTTTAATATTTATTTTTTTTAGTTTTCCGCGGACACAACATCTTTGTTGGTATGTGGTGCTGAGGATCGAACCCTTGCCGCACGCATGCCAGACGAGTGCGCTACCGCCTGAGCCACATTCCCAGCCCACAGATTGTTTCTTTAGCTGAGAAGAAACTTTTTAGTTTGAATCCATCCCTTTTATTAATTCTTGCGCTACAGGAGTTTTATTAAGGAAGTTAGGGCCTAATCAATATTATCAAAATGACCATACTAGCAAAAGCACTATATATATTTAATGCAACTCCAATCAAAATCCCAATGGCATTCCTCTTAGAAATAGAAAAAGCAATTATGAAATTCATCTGGAAAAATAAGAGACCCAAAATAGCTAAAGCAATCCTTAGCAGGAAGAGTGAAGCAGGTAGGTAGCATCACTATACCAGACCTTAAACTATACTACAGAGCAATAGTAACAAAAACAGCATGGTATTGGCACCAAAACAGACTGGTAGACCAATGGTACAGAATAGAGGACACAGAAACTAACTCACAGAATTACAATTAGAGGTGCCAAAAGCATACATTGGAGAAAAGATAGCCTCTTCAACAAATGGTGCTGGGAAAACTGGAAATCCATATGCAACAAAATGAAATTAAACCTCTATCTCTTACTATGCACAAAACTCAACTCAAAGTGGATCAAGGACCTAGGAATTAAACCATAGACCCTGTGTCTAATAGAAGAAAAAGTAGGCCCTAATCTTATTTGTTTATTTTTATGTGGTGCTGAGGATTGAAYCCAGTGCCTCACACATGCTAGGCGAGTTCTCTGCCACTGAGCTACAGCCCCAACCCTAAAATCCTTTCACTGTTTCAACATCTCTCCTAGAGTGTTTAATCACTCTTAGTCATTATCCTTCTTTTCKTACATTTTCTTATATTTGACCTGTTAAAGTTCAGGTACATCTGATTTGCTTCAATGATTAAAGTCTGTTAATTTATATATTTATTAGTTATTTTGCAGTACTAGGGATAGAACCYGGGGACAGAACCCAGGGGCGCACCCWTGCTTGGCAAGCACTCTGCCACTGAGCTACTTTCCCAGCCTTTTTTTTCTTTTTCTTTAAGTTTTAATTTTGAGGGTCTCACTTAAGTTACCCAGGCTGGCCTGAAACTTGTGATCCTCCTACCTCAGTCTTCAGAGTAGCTGGGACTATAGGTGTGTGTCACCACAACAGCAGTTAATGTCCTTTTAAATTTGGATTTTGTGGGCTGGGGTTGTGGCTCAGTGGTAGAGCGCTTGCCTAGCATGTGTGAGGCACTGGGTTCCATCCTCAGCACCACATTAAAAAATAAACAAATAAAAATAAAGTTATTGTGTTCAACTATAACTGAAAAATATTTTTTWAAAAAATCCTTGATTTGGGGGGCTCAGATTGTGG